CCTCTCTTTTTTTGGGGATCTTTTTAATTCTTGCCTGCTCTCAAGCTCGTCCGGCTTGTCCCCAGCTGCTCCAGGGCGAAGCCACCAGCTTGTAACACCAAGAAGATGTTGCGTGTTGCCTGCCAACAATTCTCTCTCTCCTAGCTTCTTGGCTGTGTTAGAATCAGCCTCTAATCTTCCTCTATGTTCTCTTAGCTCTTTGTTGTGGTTGTTGCCACCACCATTTGCAAAATCATGCAAAGATTCTCCCACCTGCTGACAAAAGGATTTTCATTTAACGTACAGCTTTCTAAGCTTTGTGGAGCTAGCCAGCACAAGTTACCAGAAATCTTTCTTGGCCACTCCAACTCACTGGATACCTCCTCTAACAGTTCTCTCATGCTAGGGATCTGTGTTTCCACAGTTGATAAAAAACAGCTCAGATATTTCTTTCCTACAACACCCAGAACTTGAGGTGAACCTCACCACTTGAAAATCATAGTTCGACTATTCTCATTTTCCACAGTACAAACTTTGAGCTAAACTTATGACGGTCATATTTAAAAGATATAACAATAAGTATCTTATTAATAAGATTCCAACCAGGTTTGTAGCCTTGGTAGTGATATCACATCATCGCCTCGTCCCCAGCCGCTTAACCCTTCTCTTGGTCTCTCTTGGTATCTCACAAACTGCGGCATAACATGTTACTAGGATCGATTGATGATCAAATTGCAATATCTCCCACATTCTTGTAAGTATACCACCTCGCGCACAAAACATATATACCAAGGTTGATGATGCTGAGAATCGTGAGCAGCCAGTAGAAGTAATCAATGTGAGCCCTGTTGAGATTGTCATTGATCCAGTTGCCGTCAACCCCGCCACCTTTTGTACTTGTAAACTTGACCACCATCTCCACGAGCAAGCTGCTGATGTAGCTCCCGATGGAGATGGTGCTGAGATAGAGCGCAGCTCCAATGCTTCGCATGGAATCCGGGGCTTGATCATAGAAGAACTCGTTCTGGCCGACGGAGATGAAAACCTCGCAAACTCCCGCGAGGGCGTACTGCGGCAAGAGCCAGAATACGCTCATCGGGACCGTCGACTGTGGGCGATCCAACAGACCGTGTTGCCTAGCCACTCGCAAGCGCTTCATCTCCACCAGCGCGGCGATGGCGATGGAGACCGTGGAGATGACCTGGCCGATCCCGATGCGCTGGAGCATCGTGATCCCTCGCTCGTTCCCCGTGATCCGGCGTGCGAATGGCACGAAGCAGCGGTCGTAGAGCGGCATGATGGTGCAAATGGTGAGGGTGATGAAGAGCGTGAAGGAGGCGGCTGGGATCTGCAATCGCCCCAAATGCCGCTCCATGGTGTCGCCCTGGTTGAGGAATAAGGTGCCCACCTGGGCGAAGACGCTGCTAAAGATGAGGTTCGTGAACCAGATGGGCATCACTCGCACTAGGAGCTTCACTTCCTCGACTTGGGTCACTGGGCACAGGCTCCACGGCTTCACTTCCTTGCTCTGCAGATCCTTCTCGCTCACCACCGCCGCCTTGTCCAGGAATCTGCTCGCGATCAATCGTAGTAAGCTAAGATTGTTCTTCGCAGCTATCTCTTTAACTAGCTCGATGGACTTACGTGAATTCTTTACTCCTGGGGAGGTTCCGGATGTGTGGGAACTGCGCCTCCTTGTCGGTCGGCTCGTACAGCCTCTCATCGTCGTCTGGAACGCACACATTCCACTTCCTGGTGGCCGCCACCAGGACCTGGGCGACGCGGGTGAAGGGACTTCCAGCGGGCTTTTGGGTGCGATAGTTTGATCTCCCGGAGAAGAAGACGAGGGTGGCGAGGGCGACGACAGCGGTGGCGCCGCCCCATCCCCACGTCCATCCGTAAGTCACCTGGATGTAGACGAGGGCAGTGACCGAGAACACGTTGCCCGAGCTGATGCTCACGAACCACCAGTTGAGGAAAGACATTTTGCGCTTGGATTCCTGTGGGTCTTCCTCGTCGAATTGGTCCCCTGCGAAGGAGGTGACGTTGGGTTTGATCCCGCCGGCGCCCAACGCCATGAGATAGAGCGCAAAGTAGAAGAATCCCGACTGGGTGGAGCTCACGGGCTGGTTTTTCTCAGTCTTGATGCCTGGGACGCTGACGGACATGGTGATGAAAACCAGGGACTGCGCCTCGGTAAGTTCTAAGAAACAAGGTTACAAGGATGGAGCTTTACCATGAGATAGATGCAGAGGAAGATGGAGAGGGTGACGTATCGGCCGAAAGAGTCGCCGAGAAACGCTCCCAGGAGTGGCACCAGGTAGAGAGTTCCGGTCCAATTGTTCACGTTGTTGGCAGCGTCCGCTCGATTCTCGTGGAGCTGCTGAAAGAGATAGTTGGCCAAGTTGGAAGAGATGGCGTAGTACGCAACTCGCTCACACACCTCGCAACCTGGTGATCGATCACAGAGACATACAACTATCAGGAAAATATAAACAAAAAAGTTTTAGAAGAAAAGATGAAGTATAGTAAAGAAGAGAAGTTTAGATATCGCAGAAGCATGAGAAGCTAGTGTTAGTCCGTTGCAAAGGTGGGTGGGACATTTGCTCACCGAAGATGAGCCAACAGGCTTTCCAGTTCCCGCTTGTCAATTTTCTTGACGGTCTGTTCCATGACACATCGGTGGCATTGTTCTCGTCGGGCTCCACGAACTCATCGCTGCTAAACTTCTTCTCCTCCACCATCACTGCTGCGGTTGCTGCCATTCCGAACAATAGATCTGGTATCGCCAAGAAATTGACGAGAAACTCTATACAATGGCTTCGGAGCAAACAAGTTATCGAGACTGCGAGCTTTGGAGTTAAAGAAAGATTTTGCTGCTACTCCTACCACTGGGGCTGGTGTTCTTTCAAACGCATTGGCAGCGACAAGGATGCCTTCTTTCTTTTTCCCGGGATTTACAGAAGAAAATGAGATGGGTGCAAACAATCATTTCCAGCAAAAGTTCTCACGAAAGAGAGAAAAACCATAGTTGAACTTCACGTCTGGTAAGCCACTCCTCATTGCGTCCTATTGTAGTGTTCTTGACGTAATAGATGCTTGGCCGGAAGAACCAGCCATTTTGAATAAGTGGGAATCAATCAGGATAGATATATTCTGCAAACCGTGACAAGGCAATGGAATCACACCCCCACTCAGCCGAGATAAAGCTGGATCAGGAAAAATCTTCTCTAGAATCTCGACACTTCTCCGCTCCACGACTCGCCAACTCTTCAAATATTAGAAAAACAAAAGAAAAAGAACAGAAAAGAAATTGGAAACTTATCTATTCCCCCACTCAGCCAAGAAAACCTGACCATCTTGTGGGCTTGATCAGCAGCAGTAGTATAGTAGAATGTCTTTACGTTCTAAAAGCTTTCGGAATCGCATATTGTTTTGCTTGTACTGAATTTACACTACAATACAAGATCACAATCTGGTGCTCCTCTGCTGTACTGCTACCTTTGAGTGGAAAATGGCTTGTTTTTTTGTTCCTGTGGGTGCTGTCTCTCAGGCGGGGCTCTTCAGCATTTTCACCGCCTAGCAAGCACTCAGGGCAGCCACATAGTGAATCAGGAAAAAAAAAACACAGAAAACAAACTAGCTCCAACTACTAATGTTATATAGCAACACAAAACACTATGTTCATGACATGGCTGGATCACCTCGTCGCGACATCACACTGACCATCAAATAGATCCCCCAAATTGTTCTTGGCACACCACAACAATAGGTTTGTGGCAGAACTTGCGAAGTTCAGACAGCTTGAGTTTATAACCATTCCAGCTATTTGAAAATTGATGTCTCTGCTGAAAGCGGCACTTGAAAATCTGAAGCCGGTCCAGAGAGGAAAGCTGGGAAGAAAGGCCACGATTCTAGACTTTATGGTGCGCAAGCCAGCGTAGAGACAAGCTTTGGAAAACAAAGAACGGGACGTTGTAATTTTATCGTTTTCTTTGAACTTTTAGCGTACTCCCAACTTGGAAGCTTTGGAATAGCTAGTTTTATGATGGTGCCATCGTTGTTATTTGCTGAAGTCATTGGGATCCGTGTGAGACGGATCAATAATACAATTTACAGGATGGAAGATGTCTTTCACGTTGTCTATGACTGTATAGCCTTCCACATGCTATCTTCAGATCCCCTCGAGCTAAAGGGATCCCACCGGCTTCCTAGAGAATTAGGCCCGAGAACCTGGCCATCAGCTGGCTATTTATTTTTGTCGGATGGAAGAGCTAAGGGAGCTTCAAATTCAAGGAGTGAGGAGAGAGTAGGCAGGTAATATATTCTTCATTTTACAAGTAATTATATGTATCTAGCTGGGCGCCAAAAGACCTCTGCCCCCCCCCCCCCCCCATAAAAAGAACATGTATTATAGTAGGAGTTGAAAGATTGATTCAAGCAATTGACAAGTCTTCTTCTGACATGTTAGAGTTTGTAGGAGTTATCAATTCTAAGGCTTGCCATCCACCACATTAAGCATTGCTAATTTCTGAGATGCAAAAATATATGAGTAGAAATCTCAGAGATTTGTTTACGGTATTCAAATTTGGATGGTCTTATTTCTCACACTTTCCTACGTTGAAATGAGAATGACTAAATATTTGATTATCACAAATACCCACTAGTGGTCTCATGCCTCCAATTGAGTGTTGCAAGACCTCCAAAAACATGTATTATTATTACTACATGCGAAGAGATCGCTCTACAGCTTAGCTACAACACGTTAATAAAACATTAAATTATAAACTTTAACAAAACTAACAGCCGGACTATGTAAATCCAAAGGTTGCGAGCTTGATAAAATGCATGGAGCCATTCTCACATCAAAGCTTCCTCAGCATAAGGAAATTTAGTTAGGCACAAGAAACAACATAATTCCAGTGGGAATGTCTGTTAAAGAAATCTTTAAGAGAGATCAGGGATCTAGATCCGAGTAAATTTTTCCAACGATGAATCTAGATACTTGGAAAGAGCGGAAAAACAGCAAAGAGGCAACTTACATATTCCAACACAGTAATAACATAATCCTTGAAAACACTCACAAATAGTATACTAGAAACAAGCAATGAACCGCAATTTTAACCTCCACCACCACCAGCAGCTGGTTTGTCGAGGTAGATCTCGTTCATGACTAGAAACATCGAAACCACAAACAACGAGTCCACTCCAGGCTCAATCTCTATGCTGTAGCTGTGGCATCTCGCAATGCTTGCCAGTTTCCACTTGTACCTTGCCTGTGGATCAATGTCAAAATCTCTTCTTCGCAGAAGAACAGAGAGACATACCTTTGCAATAAGCTCTCCAGTATCAGTCCTGCGTAAGCTGTACTTCCCCTTGAAGCAGCATCCAGTGAGCTTGAAATCGGGCGTGGTGTTCTCCCCGAGGTACACATCCACGCAGAACTTTAGCCGGAAGCAAGGCTTCTTCGCTGTGAAGAGAAGCTTGTCTTCGTCGAGATAGGCCTTCCACTTGTTCTGGAAACTAAATGCCTGCGAACGGGTTTCTATAAGTTTCGAAGGAAAAGAGAGATGTGTTTAAGTACCTCTTTCTGGAGCACAAGAAGAACCTTTCCACTGGAATCCATAACTCTCCGCTGGCGGCCGCATCCACAGTTCCCATCCACTGCAAAAACGTCGTTTTGTTTTTCATCCCGGACGGTATACTTCCCACAGCTGAAGACTCCCGCGCTGGAGAGAGTGAGATTCACAGCCTGGAAGTCGCAAAATTGTGCTCCAACAACAGGCAAAGCCGCAACAGCCTTGCCAGAATCTTGATCGAAACCCATAGCCTTAGCCTGGAGCTGGAAAATCATCAAGCCTTTTCAAGAGCAAAGCTCTCCATACTTGCGAGGAAGATGAACTGAGAAATCCAGGAGGCTTCCATGCTCTGACTAATCTCCTCTAAGACGCGTTTTAAGCGTAAATGAAGCCACACGTCTGCTCTTCGGCATGCGGTGGAAGTAATCTTCATTTGAGCTGGAGTGCACAGCTAATCAATCAGTGGGACCTGCAGGAAGCTTAACAAGCAATGTCAAACACAGAAAAAGCCATGAAGAGATAAACCAACGAAAAATCAACTTGTCTGGATAATTTCGTGTTTTTTTTTCTTCTCGTGTCGGTAAAGATAAACACCACAGCACAGTAGCGAACATATAAATCCCTGCGATGTATGTCCAACGAAGATATAAACCCGAAAAAATGGAGTTCACTTACAAGGCAGTAGTGATGTTTCTCTCGTTCTCGCTTCTCCGCGCAAGTTAAGTCGAGTCGTGACCCACGCTGGCCTCCAAGTGTAGCTCGTCCATTATCAGTACGAGGGCGACTACAAAGACGTGGTCGACCCCAGGAAAAACCGTAACGGTGTAAGCACCGCATCCCAGAACAAAGCTGGACGCGTCTGGCTTTCGTGAGGCCTGCACGGGACGACATCAATTGTGAGGTACATACCAAGGAACATTCTTTCCAAAGTACAGAAAAGAAAGAGGAAGATCACAGAAATCGTACCTGTGCAATCGACCTTTCTCCGCAATCGATACCGTAATCATTTTGGAAGTAGGCCCCCTCGAGCTTAAAGTCGGGATCCATGGAGAGGTCCGGCTCGGAGCCTTTCACTGGCAAGAACACCTTGAGAGAAAAGCGTGAAGCCGGCGCTTCTAACGAAGATTGCACTGTGAACACTCTCCTCGCGCCGTCTTCACCGTCAATGAAGGCATCGAAGATGCTTGGGTTCTGTCTTGGAAAGAGAAACCTTGTCAGAAAATCTAAACAAGAAAAACCAAAACTTTGCTATCTAGGAGCTGCAACAAACCATGAACTTCTTGTGGATCTTGAGGATCCGTGTCCCGCTCGAATCCAGCAGAGTCCGAGTCCATCGCAGGCTCAGCCTCCCTTCCACCGTGATGAGGAAATTCCCGACTCCATCGGTGACAGTGTAATTGCCCCAACTCCATGCCTCGACCTTGGAGAGTATCAACTCCATGCCATCGTGCGCACAAAACTCGTGCCGAACCACAGGGACCAAGCCTACTCCTGCCTTTCCCTCAACTTGATTAAGTGCCATGGTCGTCCTTGAAGAAGCCGTCATCGTTTTTGTTCGTGGCTTACGGGGATCTTAAGTGCTACTAGCATTAGCACTGTTGCCACCGCCGGGAATTTACGCATACTCCTCGCCGTGCTGCGCTGCTGCTGATGGCGATGGCGACATGGAACACCGAAGCAAAGGGGCCGCTCCTCAGCGGTATCTGGAAATCGGTCAAGACAAACGATGAGCAACACAACCTGACGTAAACGTAGCAGCAAAAAAAGAAATGAGCTAAGACAACGAGTGGGATTAGGAAATAAATACCGTGCTTAGTCGCCACGCATTTGCGATAATGAGGTGTGGATGACCCGCTTGGTACCAAAAAAAAAAAAAAAAAAAACCATTGTGGAAGTCAAAACCACGTTTTGTGACGTTAATCGATCGATCGAAGAAGAAAAAAGAAAAGGATGCGTAAACAAACTCACCAGGCATGTCGTTGCCTTTGTTCAGTGTACTGCGAATCAGTCGTACTAGAAATGTGTCCTATCGTCAACAAGAACCCTATCCAATCGCGAAATCAATTTCTTCCCACAATGATGGAGATCGCTTCGAGAAGCTGAATGTAGGCGGTCCAGGAGAAACTATCGCTGGAAAATCGGGACACATTCCTTTCGATCCGATTCTCATCGAGCTAGAACCCTAAAAACAAAACCCCCAATATTTTTTAAAAACTTTCTATTGCGGCTGGCTAGAATCGAACGCAGGACCACCCAAACTATGATGACTCACTCGCTGACATGGCAAGGTACCGTTATTCTGAGTCAGCCCTACCACCGATTCACATGCCAGCTGATATTTCGCGGAGACACTTTTTTGGTGGAAATATCTATGCGAGGCGTGTGGCTCAGAGAGATCATCAATCCATAGCTCCAAACATTGGTTGAGGGATCAATTTACTTGTGATTGATAGCAATGTATGCCACTGGCACTAGTCTTGGGCTTTGATTTGGAAGGTGGTCGCAATGTATGCCATTGGCACTGGTTATGGCATTAGCAGCTCCTTCTTCCCAGCTCCACCCAGGAGAAGATCATCAAGGATCACAGCCACCGCCACCAAATCGAGAGAGACCTCTCGCAGGAACAACAACGCCCTTGGATTCTCCATCCCCAATCCAATCGAAGAGGCGCGGGCGGCGGCAGTAGCCCTGTGCGACACTGTGGAGAATCTCATCGCCACGTACATCGATCCCCGCGAGTTCCCTCCCTCGCAAGACCCCAAGATCCAGCTCGCGGACAATTTCGCCCCGGTTGGAGAATCCCCGCCGACGCCATGCCGCCGAGTCACTGGCGAGATCCCTCGCTGCCTCCGCGGCGGTGCTTACATCCGCAATGGCTCCAATCCACTCCATCCCCCTCCCGCCGGCTACCACTACTTCGATGGCCACGGGATGCTCCACGCGATCAAGTTCCCGGGCGATGATGATCTCGAAGAACATCACGCTCCAATCTACTGCGCGCGATTCACCCAGACCAATCGATTCCTCCAGGAGCAAGTAGCGGGCAAGATTCTCTTCCCCTACACACTGGGCACCATGAGCAGCTATGCCGGGCTCGCGCGACTGGGGCTATTCGCGATGCGCGCGGCTCTGGGCCTGATCGATATCTTGGGCGGGATGGGAACTTCCAACGCTGGGATGGCCTACTTCGATCGCCGAATTCTTGCCATGTCCGAGGATGATATGCCATACGCCGTGAATATCACCCCGGCAGGGGATTTGATCACCATGGGTCGCTACAGCTTCAACAAGCGATTGCTACTGCCAATGTGCGCTCATCCAAAGATCGATCCAACCTCTGGCGAGCTCTTCGCGTTTAGCTTCAATCCAGTGATCAATCCCCACCTCCGCTACTTCTGGGCGAGCCGGGAAGGGAGGAAAAGCCCCGATTTTGATGTGTGGTTGCGCGAGCCGTGCCTGTTTCACGATTTTGCGATCACGGAGAACTACGCAATCTTCCCAGAGAATCAGGTCGTGATGAAGATCCAGGATGTTGTGCTCCAGAACAAGATGCCCATCCGTGGAGATACCGCCAAGGTTCCCAGATTCGGGGTGATCCCTCGCATCCCGACCGTGGGATATTCCGGCGTTCGCTGGATCGACGTCCCGGATTGGACGTCATTCCACTACATCAACGCGTGGGAGGAAGGGACGGACAAGATCGTCGTGCTCAGTTCGTCTATTACGCCAGTGGAATGTCTGTTCGATGACGTAGCCGGATTGTCCAGCAGATTGCACGAGATCCACCTGGATCTTCGATCTGGACGGTCGTGGAAGCAACACGTGTGCTCCGCCGGACTGGATTTTGGACAGATCAACCAGAAATTTTTGGGGCGAAAGAATAGGTACGTCTACATGTGCTACTATGGGCCATGGCCCAAATTCTCGGGCCTGGCCAAGGTCGATCTAGACGCTCCACGGCTGCCCAGAGTAGTAATCGACGGTGCAAGTGATCCGGATCTAAGCGAACCGTGCATTGTGGCTTCGAGGAGATTCGAACCTGGGAGGTTTTGCAACGAGCCTTTCTTTGTGGCAAAAGGCGAGGAGGAAGACGAGGAAGACGATGGATACGTCTTAAGCTACGTCCATGATGAGAAGAGTGGTGTCTCGGAGCTTTTGATCATGGATGCTAAATCGCCCACGCTTGAGACAGTGGCTTCTATAGAGTTGCCTGCTAGAGTTCCATATGGATTCCATGGAATCTTTGTAAATGCCTATCAAATAGCAAACCAAAACCATGTCACCTTGTAAGAAAAATTCATGTAATTACTTTGTGACAAGGACTTTTTGCCAGCCACTCGGACAAAAATGCCATTTAGATGGTTAGCATATTCGCAAATCAAAATTCGAGCGGCTGGCACAACAGGGAAAATGTTAGATTCCGTGCCTTAGCAAAGCCTAGTGACACTTCTTTAGTATCTTCGCTATTAGGTCGAATTTGCCACCACGACAGAGGAATTGACGTTTTGGCGCAAAGGTTTCTCAAATGATTTTAGACAAATTTGTAAAGAAGAAACCTTCTGCTCTTCAGCACACCCAGCAAAGAGGCTATAGAATAAATGTTCTTCACCCCAAGCTACCTTAAAAGCTCCACACTCCTTAACCTTGAACTTACTTTTACAATATTTCTAGTTTATGGTCCATATAGATTGCGCAACACCAAATGCAAGAGAGGGATGCCACCATGAAGATCCGTAAGCCAGCCATACATCATCACAAAGTCGCGAGAGCTGGAATGAGCATGACAAATTCCTCTGAGGAAAATTTTCTAGGTCAAAACTGCGATACAATGGGACATTTGCAGAGATATTCTGGTCTTGCGCAAGTTAAGTTGTCTATCAAGATTTGTTCTAGATTAGATGCAAGGCAACTCAAAAGCATGGCCTTCTCCTCGGAACAAAATTATCCACAAAAGTTGATATTTCTCTCTCTTCACGGTTTATTCTCCACTGATTGATCATTCAAGAGTTACAAAACTCCATCTTACTTTCACCGCATGAAAAGTTGACCGAGACAACTCTGACACAGAGGAGTGTGGCTCTATTTAACTCGTCTTAAAGGAGGTTAGTCAGAGCATCCTGGATTTCTCTGTTCATCGCATGGAAAAATTTTCTCTTGATAAGGCTCGGTGATTTTCCAGCTCCAGGCTAAGACTATGGCTGTTGCGGCTTTGCCTGTTGCTGGATCACAGTTTTGTGACTTCCGGGCCGTAGATCTCACTCTTTCCAGCTCGGGAGTCTTCAGCTGTGGGAAGTATACAGTCCGGGATGCAGAACAAAACCAAGTTTTTGCAGTGGATGGGAAATTTGGCTGCGGTCGCCAGCGGAGAGTTATGGATTCGAGTGGAAAGGTTCTTCTTGTGCTCCAGAAAGAGGTACTTGAAACGCATCTTTCTTTTCCTTTCGAATTCTCAGAAAACCGTTAGGCAGGCATGTAGTTTCCAGAACAAGTGGAAGGTCTATCTCGACGAAGACAAGCTCCTCTTTACAACGAAGCGGCCTTTCTTCTTCCGGCTAGAGTTATGCGTGGATGTGTACCTCGGGGAGAACACCACGCCCGATTTCAAGCTCACTGGAAGCGCGTTCACCGGGAAATACTGCTTACACAGGACTGATACTGGAGAGCTGATTGCAAAGGTATGTCTCTCTTTTCTTCTTCTTCGAAGAGACTTTGAGTTTGATGAACAGGCAAGGTCCAAGAGGAATCTGGCATGCGTTGCGAGCTACAGCATAGAAATTGAGCCTGGAGTGGACTCGCTATTTGTGGTTTCAATGATTTTAACCATCGTGGGACGTCAATATAATGGATCCATTCCAAGTTGAGTCCATTAAATGCAAGTTCATCATTTACATAATATGGCGAAATCGTGAAACGGGAGAATTTCACTTCTAGACAGTTTCTTCCAGGCAGCTATGGCGGGCATTGGTTAGCGGTTTTCTTGCATTGGATCGACATTCTTGCCCGATTGCTTGTTGAAGCTATAGGGGCACATGGTGATCAAATCTCCTGCTGGGGTGATCCTCACTCATCCTCGGACATGGAGCCTTCGAGGTACCCATCGATTAGGCTTAGTGCCCAGCGTATCGCAAATAGCCCCAATCCCGCGCACTCCTCCAGCTTTGTTTGGGGATGCGGTGCTTACACAGTTACGGTATTTTGCGTACTGATAATGGAAGAGCTACACTTGGAGGCCTAGCGTGTACTGCCGTTAAGTTGTACTCCATTTTTCGGCTTTAGCCGGGATTTATACTTTAGTGTTTATCTTTACGACACGGGAAAAAGAACACACGAAATTATCCATTTGGTTGTGTTTTGTTGAGGTCCCACTCATTGATTAGCCGTTCCCACCAAGAGTTAAAACGCGTCTTAGAGGAGATTAGTCAGAGCATCCTGGATTTCTCCATCCTCGCAAGCGTCAAGAGCTTTGCTCTTGAAAAGGCTTGGTGATTTTAAACTTCCAGGCTAAGGCTATGGGTTTTGATCAAGATTCTGCCAAGGTTGCTGCGGCTTTGCCTGTTGCTGGAGCACAGTTTTGCAACTTCCACGCTATGGATCTTACTCTCTCCAGCTCAGGAGTCTTCAGCTGTGGGAAGTATACTGTCCGAGATGCAAAACAAAACCAAGTTTTTGCAGTGGATGCTTTATTTCGTTAAAGTGGGACTTTTCATTATCCCACTTATGGTGTGTGGCCATATGTCATTTTTATAACAACAATAAAAAATTGAAGTTTTAACTTTATAATTTATAAATTAAAAACTTTTCATATGATTTTGTGTTATAATATTGTGAAATATAAAAAATTAAATTAAAAAACTGATAGAAATATTAATAAATATTAATTAAGTACTAGGAAATGGCATGTGGACACATGCTAATTAATGTCCCACTTTACTGAATAAGTCCCACTTTAACGAAATAAAGCATGTGGATGGAAACTTTGGATGCGGTCGCCAGCGGAGAGTGATGGATTCCAGTGGAAAGGTTATTCTCGTGCTCCACAAAGAGGTACAAAACCATCTCTCTTTTCTCTAGATAGTAACCCATTTGGCAGGCATTCAGTTTCCAGAACAAGTGGAAGGCCTATCTCGTTGAAGACAAGTTTCTCTTCACAGCGAAGAAGCCTTGCTTCCGGCTAAAGTTCTGCGTCGATGTGTACCTCGGGGAGAAGCACCACGCCCGATTTCAAGCTCACTGGATGCAACTTCACCGGGAAGTACAGCTTACGCAGGACTGATACTGGACAGCTGATTGCAAAGGTATGTCTCTCTGTTCTTCTGCGAAGAAGAGATTTTGAGATTGATCCACAGGCAAGGTACAAGAGAAAACTGGCAAGCATTGCGGGACGCCACAGCTACAGCATAGAGATTGAACCTGGAGTGGACTCGTTGTTTGTGGTTTCGATGTTTCTAGTCATGAACGAGATTTACCTTGACAAACGAAGAGTTTAAGTTTATATTCGTGAGTGTTTAATTGAACTTCATGGTTTTAATATATTGGTTGACACTATAATGTCTCCTTCAATTGGCCCACCATGCTCAAAAGAAGTGTCTAAGTGAAGTTCATATTTGATAGGCATTATTCATATAGCAAGTTATATATAATGTTAAGCATGAATATGGAATGGAAAATATTCAGTAAAATCTCTCATGTTTATCCCCATCTTGCACATGTAAATAATTTCCAACCGCTAGATTGGAAAAGTATATTCTAGCAAGTACTATTGTATGATTGTCTTTATAATTAAATTTTAAATACATGTCTTTGGGTTATTTCAGTCTTATATTTTTAGTTTTCAGTCTTATTAGTGTGGATAAAAGTTAAAAGGTAGAACTACCACTATAGGTTACTGAAATATCAAATTATTGAAATCACTAAGCAATAAGTTTGCACTCTTTGTCAACGACAAAGGTCATTAAGGAGATTATGCATAATGATCTTAATACTTTTTAATATTATTAGTGTAATAATAAATCAGTAAACCAATCAAGCTATCAAGCTCAATAATTTCCTTTTTTTTTCCTTCAAAATCCATATTTTATTCTTATTTGTTTTAGATTTTTCTTTTCCATTTTCTCTTCTATTTATAGATTTAGCCATTTGCACAATCTTACTGTGGTCACCTGTTGGAATGATGCCAGAGATATTCGCAAATATGAGATTTGATCACACATTTTTGTGACATTTTCAGTGAGAGATAGAGTTCTCTTATGAGATTCTGAGTGTGGGGCAATTGCAAGATTCCCTCAGAACAGTACGCACCAGGTTTATAGTTTTTATTAGAAATAAATATACTTTGGCAGTTCTTCAAGCAAGCTAGAGTGCTGTAGAAGTGATGACAGCAGCTGCTAGCTTTTGCATATGTGTGGGTGTTTTAGAATCCGATTCAGCACCAGCCATAAAGCTATAGTTTGTGTTCCCCTCCTAAAAGACGATCCAGTCTGTAGAGTCCTCTTACAAATTTTACAAAGTACCTCGCAAAGATCTTTAGGCGTGTTCAGTTTTTTCTCTTTGTTCCAGTCCACCACGACTCGGAGAAAACAACCTGAAAATCAGTAGACCGGTCAGTCTCAAGCTGCTGGCAACTTTTCCTCGAGAAGAACTGTTTTTACCAGTGATTCCATCATCGCAAATAACACCTGCAAGGTACAAAATAATTTTTCATCCTTTCCTCAAACACATTTGGAAAATCGGCATAAGAAAACAGGAGCCACAAGCCTGGGAAACGAGAACAAGAACTTGATCTTCCTGGTCCCCTTCTTCACGATGTCTTCGCCATGACATCTGGAAATTCCATAGAAAATCGAATCCTGTCTTGAAAATATAGCAACAGCTGCGGTGCGATGCCACGAAGGGGCTGAGAATTCCGCGGGAGATTGCGGCATTTCGGAGACGAGCGCTTTCTTCCTGGATCGCCCGCTGCTCTGGATTTTCTCTGGCGCCATTCATAACTAATGAGTTCTGGCGGGAAAAATGCCGTTTAAATGACTCTCGTCCCAAAACATACGACAATTGATAAGATTTGCAGCACATTCAAAATGCCCAGCTTTGGCTAGCAAGTTTATCACACAGTTCCAAAGGAGGAATAAAGAAAAGAGAGATGCGTCATATTTGAAGCGGAGTTTTGCAGCAGAAAAAGCCATGAAGAGAGAAACCAAAGGAAAGAAATATCAACTTCTCTTGATGATAATTTCGTTCAAGGAGAAGGCCATGGCTTCATGTTGCTTGCGTCAAATCTAGAGCAAACAAGACTTGGATCTTGATAGGCCCACTTAGCTTGCGCGGTTAAATCAGTATTTCATCCTGTGAGCAGCACACAAGGCCTCCATTGAGATTGCTTTGAGATCAAACTCTTCGCGGCTGCAACAAGTGGAGACATGTTTTTTGCTGCCATTATATTGCTTGCAGCTCATATAGTAGAAGCAAAAGAAAAGAAAAACAAACATCGAGTGTATCGATCCAGAAGTTTGGAACAAAGGTGTGATGTTAAGGGGGTGTAGCTCAGATGGTAGAGCGATCGCTTCGCATGCGATAGGTAAGGGGATCGATGCCCCTCACCTCCAGAAAGTTTATTTATTAGACATCAGTAGAGACTAGAAAAAGTCCATCTTGAATTTGTTTTTGCGTAATTATCAATGCTTGCGGTGGCTACTTTCATGCGAAGCTTGAAATTGATATATCAGTCTCACAGCAAAATGCAAGACAAAGAATGGCGATTTGCGTGAATCGAAGCTCCTTATTCATAAAATGCCTTCTTGGTCGTTGCAAGTATGGTCTCTTTAACCTGGCAAGTAACATAGCTGGCACCACTGTATGCTGCTATCACTGAATAAAACCAGCTATTCCAAATCAATCTTCCAAGTTGGGAGTTTAGTTTGGGACGCTAAGAGTGTAGTGCCTGCAAAGAAAACAAGCAGGCATGGATAAAACACTCCGTCCGAAATTCCATACCTTGGTTCTTGTTTTCCAAAGTGTGAATTGTCTCTACAGCGCTGGCTTGCGTACCATAAAGTCTAGAATCGTGGCCTTTTTCCCAGCTTTCCTCTCTGGACAGGCTTCAAACTTTGAAGTGCTGGCCGCTTTCGGTGTGTCAGCTTCGTCGATCTCATCGTCAGAGATATCAATTTCCGAATAGCTGGAATGGTAGCAGGAAAATCATTGTCAGGGATATAAACTCAAGTTGTCTTACCTTCGTTTCTGGCCAGAAGTACGCACAGATTGACGAATCGGTTCTTCAGGCAAGCTAGGCGACTGGAAGCCCGTTAAAGTGCTCTGCTTTAAGGTACAAGTGCTGACACTAGCTGCTAGCTTTTGCGCTTGTGTGGTTGTTTTAGAATCGGATCCAGCACCAGCCGTGAAGCTATAGTTCGTGTGCTTCTCCTGTAAGACAACCCAATCCATAGAGTTCCTTAGGAATTTTACAAAATACCTCGCAAAGATCTTTCGGCATGTCTAGTTTTTTCTCTTCGGGATTTTCTTCTTTCGTTCCAATCCACCAGGACTCGGAGAAAACCACCTGAAATTAGCAGACTGGTCAGTCTCAAGCTGCTTTCCTGAAAAGAATTATGTTTTGCTTACCAGTGATTCTATCACATCGTCGCAAATAACACTTTTTGATCCCTTCGTTAGCTGCAAGGTAAGATACTTGTTCTTGGGATAGACAATGGTACCGAAAAGCTTGATGCGCCCCTGGAATCCAGCCAGAGATATTTTTCATCGTTCTCTCCTCTCTCAAACAATAACGCACCTTTGGAAAATCGACATAAAGGATGGGATTCTTCGTGTCTAGATGAGCAAGATCCCCAAATTTCCCACCAGCGACAGGAGCTACAAGCCCGGGAAACGAGAACAAGAACTTGCTCTTCCTGGTCCCCTTCTTCACAATGTCTTTGCCATCGCACTTCAAAAGCTCTGGAAATTCCCAAGAAAATCGATTGTTGTCTGTCTCGGCGAATATGGTGCATACCTTTGGACGGGAGCAACAGCTGCGGCGGCGATGCCGCAGAGCGGCCGAGAATGCCGCGGGAGATCGCGGCATTGCGGAGACGAGCGCTTTCTTGCTGGATCGCCTGCTGCTCCGGATTTTCACTGCCGCCATGCTTCATGAGCCCTAGCTAGGTTAAATAAGTTCTGGCGGGAAAAAGTGGCCATTTAAATGACTGGCAACCTTCTTTGCGGCATTGGTCCCCAAAATTCTACCACCACTGTAAGTTCCTGAGAGCAAGCACGTCCACTCTAGGGCATCTGGCACAAAAGGCATCTCATTGATAAGATTCGCAGCACTGTCAAGGTGCCCAGCTTTGGCCAGCAAGTTTATCACACAGCAGTAGTGCTGCTTCAAGGGCTTCAGTCCAAAGTCGAGGATCATGGAAGCCAAGTAAGTTTTGGCCGCGTAGAGCTTGCCTCCACGGCTACAGGCCACGAGAATTGATACAAAACAAGCATCATCAGCTGTTGTGCCGATCAGATTCATGCTGCTTAAAATCTTGAATGCGTCTTTCGAATCACCTTTCTCCGCAATTGCAGCTAAAATTGTGCCCCACGAGACTGTGTCTCTCTCCGGAAGTGCCTCGAAGAGATTCCAGCATCGACCAAGATACCCGATGTGGGCATACGCCGCAAGCATTGCATTCCAGGACACGAGATTCCTTTCCTGCATTGAATGAAACAGTCTCACAGCCATTTCTGTAAAACCATTTTGCGAAAACGATGAGAGCATTAGGTTGTAGGACGCTACTGGCTTGACAGGTTGGCTATCAAACACGTATTTGGTATGCTCAAGATCCCTTTTTTGGGCATATACTGAGAGCATTGAATTCCACGAAATGCTATCAAGAAAGGGCATCTCAGATAAAATTCCTTGCGCGTTTTCTACATCACCGTGCTGAATATATGCTAACACCATGGCACTGCACGCTACCATATTCCATCTTGGCATCTTTTCAAGCATATTTCTTGCAAGTCCCGTATCCCCCGATTGGGCATATCCAACCAGCATGGCCGTCCACGCAACCATGTCCTTCTCGGGCATTGACTCAAAGACTTGCACAGCCTCCGCGAGTTGACCGGCGCTGACGTGCGCCGCCAGAACAGTGGTCAATGTCAACGAGTTGACTACTGGCATTGACCGGAGAACTAGCTTGGCTTGACCCAAATTGCCCCCGCCAACTAAAGCAGAAAACATGCTTGTCCATGAGACAAGATCCCACTCTGGCATTGCTTGAAACACAATCCTTGCCTCCTCTAGATGGTCGTTATCAGCATATGCTCCCAGAATCGCATTCCATGTCACTATGTTTTGCAGAGGCATGGAATCAAACATTTGCTTTGCCCGTTCCAATTCGCAGTGCCGCCCAAGCGCAGCCACCATTGTCGTCCATGCAACAAGAGTGTGTTCTGGCATCAAGCGGAGAAACTCATTCGCTCTTGCAAAATCTCCATTTTGGGCGAATGCTAAAACCATCGAATTGTATGATACTAGATCCCGTAGAGGCATAGATGCAAAGATATTCCAAGCGTCGTCCAGATTCTCGGTTTGCGAATATGCTGCAAGCATTGAGTTCCATGTCACCAAACTTCTTTCCGGCATTGAGTCAAAGAGCACCTTGGCCTGGTCAATATACCCAGTTTGGGCATATGCTGCGAGCATTGCATTCCAAGACACTGTTTCCCATTGTGGCATTATATCAAACAGGAACTTAGCATCCTGCAGATGCCCGTTTTGGGAATATACACACAGCATAATCACCCAGGAATATGCGTCTTTCTCATTCATGCTATCAAAAACTATTCTCGCGTGTTGTATTCCCCCACACTTGCCATACATTTCAACAAGTTTGTTTATGGCAAAGGTATCCCTCGAACTCAAAACTCGTTTGGCTATCGAGTGTAGCTTTTGGGCTTCCAAGAGGCTCGAGCACGATTGAATTGCCTCGAGAAGATCCCACCTTTCATGCATTATAAACAATCACGTATACGTGTCAAAATCGATACCTTTGTTTCCTTTTCCTACCTTGTTTTCCATGATCCATGGTCGGTCGACTCTGGTGATATAAACAGAGGTTGGTATACACTCCCGAGGTGCAAGTTCTTCTCTAAGTTTTTTCTAGTTATGGCACAATCTCTTTTAAATCTCTTGGGTTTGCTTCTAACTTGCGTTGTTTCTGTGACATTTTGTCAGGAAACTTGCGGACGCTGGCTTGACACTTGCAGCATTATCCATTATGAGGACGAATTTGCCACCATTACCGCGAGCTGCAAGCAATACACACGTGTCCACCTTCATGGAGTGTAGTTACTGTCCAAACTCGAAGGATCTCATTTGCAGCAATTCGAAGGGCGAAGAGTTCGAACTCAACAAGCTCGCAAGCAATCTCGATGGACGGCTTGTGTGCTGCTCACACGATGAAACACTGGTCTTAAGCGCGCAAGCTAAGTTGTGTATCAAGATCTAACTATGAACCAAGACTCTAGTTTGTTCTAAATTCGATCTCAAGCAACGCAAACTTCTCTTTAGTTGATATTTCTTCATGGATTATTCTGTGATTGACATTGCTTGACGAGCTTACACCAAGTCCCACTGATTGATCATTCAAGAGCCACAGAAGTCCAGCTCAAATGAAAATTACTTCCTCCCGAAGTTGACAGAGAAAAAAGAAAGAAGAAGAGATAATCTAACGTGAGGCTCTATTTACGCTTCTTAAAGGAGGTCTCCTCATTGTCCTCGCAAGCTTTGCTCTTGAAAAGGCTAGACGATTTATGGGTTTTGATCGAGTTTCTTGGCTATTGCGGCTTTGCATGTTGTTGGACCACAGTTTCGCGACTTCCAGACCGTACGACATTCACAATCTGTGCCACATTTATAATGTATCAGTGTGTTAAGGGGGTGTAGCTCAGATGGTAGAGCGATCGCTTTGCATGCGATAGGTAAGGGGATCGATGCCCCTCACCTCCAAAAAATCACAGTGCCGCTAGTTTTCTGTTACTTAGAAAAAGAAAACCTTACCTGGTTCTTGCAACTAATATAAAATCCATCACTGATCCCCATTGTTGCACTGATGATCTCAATAACCTGGCAAGTAACGAATCGCTCTCACGATTGCCGCCTGTCATATATTATACCATCACATATGTCCAAATTGTCATGCATTATATCATATACGTCCGTTGTTCCAATTTCTACGTTGTTTTCAATGGTCCACGGCCGAAGCTGTGCTTCCTTTTTCTTTTGTTTCTCTCTCTTTTTTTCTTTTTCTAGAAACAATCTTTTTCTTCTTTCCTACGTTGTTTTCGATTATCCATGGTCGACTCTAGTAATTGAAACGAAGATTCCGGTGCTTCTTTCTTTTTCTTTCTCTAGTTATTGGCATAATTTCTTGTTTCTCTTGGGGGGGCGGGGATTTGCTTCTAATTTGCGTTGTTTCTATGACATTTGTCAAGAGCCTTGCGGCGGCTGGCTTGAGACTTGCAGCATTATCGGCTATGTGGACGAATTTGCCACCATGATAACGAGCTGCGCACGATGCTCGACTCCAGCTTCATGGCTGCTCGTTGCATCCCAAGAATCGACCCAATCTCGGGCGACCTCGTATGTCACAATTTGAAGGCGAATTGTTCGATCTCAACAAGTTCGCAAGAAAGCTCAATGGAGAAGTTGTGTGCTGCCCACACGATGAAACAATGGTCTAAGCGCGCAAGCTAAGGTGTGGATCAAGATCTGACTGTGAACCGAGTCTAGTTTGTTCTAGATTCGATGCAAGCAACACAAAGGCATGGCCCTCTCCTTGATCCTTGTCGAAAACTCTCTTTGCTGCCTGAACTCCAAGTGATGAGCTACTAGAACTAGAGCTAAGCAAGCATGTCCATTCTAGAACATCAGGCTCGTAAGGCATGTTATTGACAAGATCCACAGCGTCTAAAACGTGCCCCGATCGGCCCAGCAAATCCACCAGGCAGCAAAAGTGCTGCTTGGAGGGCTTGAGCTTGTAATCGCCCACCATGCTCAAGCTCAAGGATCGAGCAGCATAGAGTTTCCCGGCTCGGCTGCAAGCAATAAGAATCGAAGTGAAGCACCCCTCATCCGCAGTGTAGATAGCCCTCAACTCATCAAAGATTTGACACGCATCGTTGTAGTACCCCTTCTCAGCGTAGCAATTCAGGAGCGTTCCCCAGGAAACCAAGTCCTTTTCCGGCATCTTCACAAACAGTCTGTCAACAAAATCAAGGTGCCCGTTTCTGGCATATGCAGCAAGCAGTGCATTCCACGTTGCCAAATCTTTTTCTCGAGAATTCTCAAAAACACAAAGACCCTGGTGTACGTAACCATTTAATGCGTATGCACACAGCATAGAATTCCAGGAAGCTAGTGTGTGGTACGGCGCATTGTCGTACATTTCTTTTGCATGGTCGACATGCCCCGCCTGGGCATATGCTGCCAGCATTGCGTTCCACGAGAACAAATCCCTCTCTCTCATTCGGTCTAGCATGACTTTCGCTGTTTCGAGCTGCCCGTTTTGAGCATATGCCACCAGCATCGCACTGCATGCAACGTGATTGTGGCGTGGCATACTTTCAAACATTCGCTGGGCATCTACGAGATACCCGCTCTGGGCATATGCCACGAGCATACACGTCCACGAAACCAGGTCTCTCTGGGGCATATCCTCAAAGCATCTGCGAGCTTTGGAAAATTTCCCATTCTCGGCATATGCTGCTAGAAGCAAAGTCCAGGAGACTATGTTCTTCAGTGGCATCGCTTGGAATATTTCAAGAGCGCCTTTTAGATTCCCTCCGTGAGCAAAAGCCGAGAGTAGAGTGTTCCAGGAGATTAAATCCCGCTCTGGCATTGCCGTGAAAAACGAATCAAGAGATTCCAAATGCCCGTTCTGGGCATATGCTGCCATCAGGGCATTCCACGTCACAAGGCTTCTGTAATGCATGCCGTCAAAGACTTCTTTGGCAGCCTCCACGTCACCGTGGTTCCCGTGCGCCGCCAGCAGTGACGTCCACGTCACTATGTCGTGCTCGGGCATTGATTCTAGGATCTTTCTAGCCCGATCTATTTGCCCCTGTTGGGCAAATGCCGCGACAATCGTGTTAAACGCGACCAAATCGTGCTGCGGCATTGAAAAGAATACCTCTAGAGCTCGATCCAAATCGCCCTCTTTGGAGAACGCATCGAGCATCACGCTCCACGATATCAAATTTTTCTCTGGCATGATCCGGAAGAGCTTCTTCGCCTCTTCAAAATGCCCAAGACGGGCAAATGCTGAAAGCATCGCATTCCATGCTGCAAGATCCCTCTCCGGCATCGCATCAAACAGCGCCCTGGCCTCGTCCAACTCGCCGTTGCGCGCGTACACGCACTGCATCGCGACCCACGCGAAGGAATCCCTGCGAGAGCCCGGGATGGCGTCGAAAATCGCCCGGGCCTTCCTCACGCTCCCGCATTTGCCATACATCTCGATCAGCTTCGTGACGATCAGGGCGTCGTCGCTGGCAAAGATCTTCTCCGCCAGCGAGTGGATCCTCGCCGCTTCGGACAACGTTTTGCACGATTGGATCGCTTGGATCCACTGGCGGCGGCTCCATGAGCTGGAAAGTCCAGTCCACGAGCTGGACATTCTGATCCGGAAACATGCTTACTAGACGGGAAAGCTCCAGGGCCGGTCGCAATCAGTGACGAACCGGCCGCAGCCCGTAAAAGCGGAAAGCCTTATCCACATGTAACCGGCTCCAGCCGGTGGCAAAAACAAATACCCGGACGTCCCGAAAGAACAAGGAGGAGGCAGGGCAACACCGTTAGTTGAGCTCTCTTATTTCATCCAGATTTTTGAATCAAACATCTTTTTTGGCGCCGATCGCTCGATCCTCGAACTTTTCTTGGTAGAATCATGGCGCTGGCTACTGTTCGACCGTCCTCTTGCTCTTGGCTCGCATGCGGCGCTGGATCAAGATCATCGATTTCAGGGTTTGCGTCGGCATCCCTCGGAGGATCTTTAAGAGGAGGCGATCTCTCTCTGGAATGCTCCAGCAGCGGCAGAGCGGCGAGCAATCGCATGCCAGTAGTGGCCGTGCGCAGCGCTTACGGATCATCATCGAGCATGTCTTCTTGGCAGAACAGGTAAATCGGTAAATTGGTCGCGCCCGCTTGAGAAGCTCGTGTTCTTCTTTCTTTTGCAAGATTTCGAGCGTTTAGGAGCAGCAGCACCGAATCGGCCGTGAGCAGCGTTCCTGTGCAAGTCGCTCATGATCTTCTCAAAGCTGGGCACCATTACCTCGACGTCAGGTATGATCTCTTTAGATCAATCGTCCTAGTTCTTACTCATGATCTATCATTTTATGATCTTCCAGAACTCCAGAAGAGTTCGCGGCCGGCCATGTCGAGGGTGCTGTCAATATTCCATTCATGTACAAATCTGGAACAGGTCTAGTAGAGCTCTCTCTTTTTTCACAGTGCTCGCTCACTCACAGCCTCTTCTTTGTAGGCATGATCACCAACTTAGACTTTGTCCCAGAAGTGTCAACACGATTCAACAAAGAGGACGAGATTGTAGTGGTATGATTGTGCGAAGACAAAAGTTTGATACCAATGCAAACTCTCTGTTTCGTGTTCTTTGACAGGGTTGCCAGAGTGGTCGAAGATCAATGGCTGCGGCCACGGAACTTCTTGCTTCGGTATCTCCCTCAGCCTTCGTGAGCTTGTCGTTTCTCTTTGTTTTTTTCTCTTCTAGTTGTTTTCAAGGGAGAGAGGCTTACGTGTGGATCATGACAGGGATTCACTGGAGTCACGGACATGGGTGGCGGCTACGGTGCTTGGATCCAAAGCAATCTCCCCGTCCGCAAATAAACTCCAAGTAAACAGTGATTGATTAGGGAGATCTCTGAACTTGTCGACGATCCTTGTGTATCTAGTCTCAAGCTCCACGAGAAACGCGCATGCCCCCGCGGGTTTCTTGTGAAGATAAGTCTGCTCATCCTCCCTCCTGGAGATTGTGATGGTGTTGTAGTGATCGAGATCATCGAGAGAGAGAGAGAGAGAGCGAGAGAGAAGAAGATGGCGATCGCTGGGAAGAGCTTCTCGATCTTGGTTTTGGTGATGGCTTTGATGCTCTTGGTGGTGGTGAAAGGTGTGGTGGGCGAATGCGAGGACCGAGCAAAGATCCAGGACAAGGTGTCGCCGTGCATTAGCGCCGGGACGCTGATGAATTCGCCCAGCGCTGCGTGTTGTGCGAGGGTCAAGGAGCTCAGCCTGGATTGCTTCTGTAGCCTCCTCCAAGGAACTCTCAGCTTGTCCGACTTTGATGCTTATGTTAACACTTGCGCTCTCAACGTTCCTGGAGGATTCTCATGCAGCTAAAAGATTGTGTATTTTATTCTACAAATTAAGTTTTCTAGAGATAATAATAATAAAAAAAAACGTGAATAAGTTTTCTAGAGATAATAATAAATAAAAATAAGAAACTTAAGAATAGGGGCATTGCGAGAATCGAACTCGCGACCTCTCGCACCCAAAGCGAGAATCATACCACTAGACCAAATGCCCAATCGCTGATAAAAAGGTGAATTTACTATTCTTCACCGGTTTGATTGATTTTGGTGTTAAAAAAAGTAAGGATTTGAACCCGCGCGGGAAGAGCCCTAATTACGCGCTAATCCCTGTTACGCACTAATAAGGATCTCGCTTCCAAAGAGTCTCTCTTTCATACATTGTTTTGGCGGCGACGGTCGATAGGGTTTGAGCAGCTCGCCGCGGAAAGATGCCTGGCGTCGACAAGAATCCCTTTGAGGACGACGATGGAGGAGGCGCCAATCCCTTTGCGTTCGCGGTGAGTGTCGCGCGCGCTCGAGCTTCGCTCGGGATCTTTCGAGCTCTTCTTTTGCTTCTTAGCCTCCGCCGCCGCGATCTTGCGGCCACTCCGGCGATGCATGTCACGGATTTGACTGGCATTGTGTTCTTTTTGCTGAAATCCCTGTGTTTTTCGTTCCAGCAGGCTGGCCCCAGGCTGCCGACGCTCGCCGCGGAGAGATTCACCTCTTCTCGCGACGCGACCGACGAAATACCTCTTTCCGATCGCTCGGTAAGCCGCCCTACGTGCAAAAGATTCGAGCTTTGGCCGTGTGTCGTCGTGGCAGGAGTCGATCCGGAAGAAAGAACGGGAGCTCAAAGAGAAGGAAGAACAGCTGACCAGGCGTGAGCAAGTAAGTAGCCCCCTGTTGGAATGTTTTTCTTCCCTCCCTTAAAGAGAAATGCTTACTTTGTTTCAGGAGCTGCGAAAGCTGGAAGCACAAGCTGCGCGAGGTAAGCTGTCCAGATTTATTATGTCTTCGATGATAAACAAGTTTATGCAGCTGGAATCTTTCTAGAGGAGAAGAACTGGCCTCCCTTTTTCCCGATCATCCGCCATGACATTCGTCGCGACATTCCATTGCATCTTCAACGCCTACAGTACATGGCTTTCGCGAGCTGGCTCGGTTCGTTTTTGTTTTTGCTTCTTTCGAAAGCCTGTGCTTTACGAACTTCTCTCTCTCTCTCTCTCTCTCTCTCGTACAGGCTTCGTGTTGTGCCTCGCGTGGAATTTCATCGCTGTCTCGGGAGCTTGGGCTCACAAAGCCGTCAGCTCCTCCTACGGTATATCACAATCTTGCTGTTATCATCGGTTGTTTCTTTCTTGCTGTGCTAAAGTCAAGGTGCCGCAGGTGTCCAAATCTGGTTCCTCGCGATCATTTACATGCTAGCTGGAATTCCCGGATCGTATGGACTGTGGTATCGACCTCTGTACAAAGCAATGAGGTATTGTGTGTCACTCTCACGGGACGTTTCTTCAGCTCGTTTGCTTTTCCAGGAGCGACAGTGGCCTGCGGTTTGGATGGTTCTTCCTCTGCTATCTGGTACACAACGATTTCCATATCAAAGTTTCTTTCGAAAGATATGAGTGCTAAGACCCAGCTCTACAGGTCCACATTTGCTTTTGCATCGTCGCGTCAATTGGACCCCCTATCGTCTTCAAGGGGAAGTCCCTTGCGTGAGTTATCACTGTCCGGTTATCCCGTTGATTCACGAATGACTCGTTTTTACAGGGGTATCTTGCCAGCGCTGCAAGTGTTTAGCAACACGGTTGGAGTCGGGGTAAAAAATCTGTTCCTTGGAAACGCAAACTCTTTCTCTTGCCAACTCGCTAATTGATACCTTCATGTTCCAGATCCTCTATCTCGTCGGCTTTGCTCTCTTCTGCTTGGAAACGTTGCTGTGCATCTGGGTACTCCAGGTAAAACCGAAAAAAAAGAGCAAGATTGATCCTGGTTAAATCGCTCGTGAGTTCTTCTTTGAATCATGCAGCAAGTGTACCGCTACTTCCGAAACAGCGGAGCGGCGGCGGAGTCCAAGAGGCAATCCGGCGGAGCTTAAAAACTGCTCGTTCACTTCTTTGTCAGTTTTGCAGAATGTCAAGGTATCGTTTGCGATTTTTATCATCGCGTTATCAGAGTGGCGCAGCGGAAGCGTGGTGGGCCCATAACCCACAGGTCCCAGGATCGAAACCTGGCTCTGATACTCTAGCTCAGAGATCAAGCTTCCCCCTTTTTCCTTGTTCTCGGAGCTGACTGCTGACTTTCAAACCTTTTTTTTTTCTTTGTTTGACTGATCTTTTTTGTATTCGTTTTGATTTTTGTTGTGTGCATCGTTGGGCTGGCTGACTTTCTTTTTTCATGTTCTCTCTAAACCACTGTTTAATTTTCTGCTGGCACCTCTGAAGAAATCATGCCATTTCCAAATTATAGAAGCTTGAAACATTTACCTTTATAGCTAACTGGTGGTGCGATGTGCCAATAAATAATTGATAAAGGATTTGTGGCACGAAGACTCCTATCCGTACAACCACCAAGGACTGTGTTTTTAGAACTTTGAGGCATTTGAAGCCAAGAGCCGCGAGAACCAACCAAAGTTCCACCATTGCAGGACAACGATTTGGGGGATCTATTTGATTGTCGGTGCAAAGAATCTCTGTCCCTCCGAAAGCCACGAGGTGATCCAGCCAAGTTATGAGCGCAGTGTTATATATATGTTGCTGGCAAAAAATTCTCTCCATAATATATGGATCTCTAATGTAAATTCAGTACTAGCAAACATAATATGCGATTCCCACTGGCAAAGCTTTTGTACGGTGTGATATCACGGTTTGAAGAATCTGTACCGATCGCGATCGCGTATTAATTTACAGCCCCACTTCCTCAAATTGAGGGGGAGAATTGCACCAAATCGCTAGAAATGCTATAGCTTCTCTGTCTCTCTCTCTTTTCTATGCTAGAAACTTTTGCTAATAAGCTGGTTTATAGCGTAGTGGTGTCCCTTCTTTGTCTCCCCCTGGCATGGTATATAAGTACGTCTCTTGTCACACAACCTATGATCCAAGCTCGCTACAAGCTTAAGCGCAATTGATCAAACTCCACTCCATTTCTCGTGTGTTTTTCTTGCCAATCCATTCATCGAATCGTGAGTACAGCAGTTCAATCTCCTGTAAGATCTTGGCTCCTAGTTTCTTAAGAAGACGCATTTATATGGTGTTGGGCTCATATAGATTGTCCTCTCTCCAATCTTGGTTGGTTTTGATAGTCTTATATAGTACCAGCAAAGACATACTAAACTCACTTGTACACACTTTGGGTGTGAGCGTGCGTGTGAGTGTGTGTGTCTGTGTGTTTGTTTGTGAGAGAGGGTTTGAGAGGTGTGTTCTTGCATTGCATGTTTGTGTCATGCTAGTTTCCATCTCTCTCACTCGTTTGTTCGCTCGCTTCGAAGAATTTTCAACTTCTTCTTCCATCTTTTGGGCTGGAAATGATTGTTTGCATCCAGTACAGCCGCGGGGGATCCTACTGAAACTCCTGCTCGAAGTTTTTCTCTCTTCTATAACGCCCAAACACAAACCCGGGCAGTTCTCTCATACTTTTCCATTTTCTTCTGTGAATCCCGGGAAGAAGGAATCCTTGCTGCTCTGCTTCGCTGCCAATGCGGTTGAAAGAAAGATGCTAGCACCAGCGGCAGTGGTAGCAGTAGTAGCAAGGATCTCTCTTATCCTCCTCCAAAGCTCGCAGTCTTGAGAACTTGTTTGCTCCTCGTAGCCATTATAGAGTTTCTCGTCGAAAAGCTTACGATTTTTCGAGTGTTTTGTTTCTTGGCGATGCCAGATCGATCGATCGGAATGGCCGCAGCAGCAGCAGCAGCAGCAGCAGCGGTGGAGGAGAAGAAGTTTAGCAGCGATGAATTCGTGGAGCCCGATGACTTGGTTTCGAACAATGCCACCGACGTGTGGAACAGACCGTCGAGGAAATCGACAAGCGGGAACTGGAAAGCCTGTTGGCTCATCTTCGGTAAGCAAATGTCCCACTCACCTTTTGCGACAAACGGAATAACACTCGCTTCTCATGCTGCTGCGATATCTATACTCCTCTTTCTTGATCATCTCCATCTTTCTTCTAATACTTTTCTCTTTATCTTCCCCTCCCTGTTCCTGATGGAACTGTGTGTCTCTGTGAACGATCACCAGGTTGCGAGGTGTGTGAGCGAGTTGCGTACTACGCCATCTCTTCCAACTTGGCCAACTATCTCTTTCAGCAGCTCCACGAGAATCGAGCAGACGCTGCCACCAACGTGAACAATTGGAGCGGAACTCTCTTCCTGACGCCACTCCTGGGAGCGTTTCTCGGCGACGCTTTCCTCGGCCGATACCTCACCCTGTCCATCTTCCTCTGCATCTATCTCATGGTAAAGCTCCCAAGTTCCAAAATGCCATCCTTGTCTCTCTGTTCCTTCCACCTTTCTAGATTCCATTGTGAACTTTTGGGTATCTTGATGATTCATCCTCCTCGCAGGCTCTGGTTCTCGTCACCATGTCCGTCAGCGTCCCGGGCATCAAGGCCGAGCAAAACCAGCCCGTGAGCTCCATCCAGTCGGGATTCTTCTACTTTGCGCTCTATCTCATGGCGCTGGGCGCCGGCGGGATCAAACCCAACGTCACCTCCTTCGCGGGGGACCAATTCGACGAGGAAGACCCGCAGGAATCTAAGCGCAAAATGTCCTTCCTCAACTGGTGGTTCGTGAGCATCAGCTCGGGGAACTTGTTCTCGGTCAGTGTCCTCGTCTACATCCAGGTGACTTACGGATGGACGTGGGGATGGGGCGGCGCCGCTGCTGTCGTCGCCCTCGCCACCCTCCTCTTCTTCTCCGGGAGATCAAACTATCGCACCCAAAAGCCCGCTGGGAGTCCCTTCACCCGCGTCGCCCAGGTCCTGGTGGCGGCCACCAGGAAGTGGAATGTGAGCGTTCCAGACGACGATGAGAAGCTGTACGAGCTGAGCGACAAGGAGGCGCAGTTCCCACACATCCGGAAGCTCCCCAGGAGCAAAGAATTCACGTAAGTAAACTTCTAGCTCTAGCTGCGAAGAACAATCTTAGCTTACTTCGATTGATCGCGAGCAGATTCCTGGAGAAGGCGGCGGTGGTGAGCGAGAAGGATCTGCAGAGCAAGGAAGTGAAGCCGTGGAGCCTGTGCCCAGTGACCCAAGTCGAGGAAGTGAAGCTCCTGGTGCGAGTGATGCCCATCTGGTTCACGAACCTCATCTTTAGCAGCGTCTTCGCCCAGGTGGGCACCTTCTTCCTCAACCAGGGCGACACCATGGAGCGGCATTTGGGGCGATTCCAGATCCCTGCCGCCTCCTTCCCACTCTTCATCACCCTCACCATTTGTATCATCCTGCCGCTCTACGACCGCTACTTCGTGCCATTCGCGCGCCGGATCACGGGCAACGAGCGCGGGATCACGATGCTCCAGCGCATCGGGATCGGGCAGGTCATCTCCACCGTCTCCATCGCCATCGCCGCGCTGGTGGAGATGAAGCGCTTGCGAGTGGCTAGGCAACACGGGCTGTTGGATCGCCCCCAGACGACGGTCCCGATGAGCGCATTCTGGCTCTTGCCCCAGTACGCGCTCACGGGAGTTTGCGAGGTTTTCATCTCCGTCGGCCAGAACGAGTTCTTCTACGATCAAGCCCCGGATTCCATGCGAAGCATTGGAGCCGCGCTCTATCTCAGCACCATCTCCATCGGGAGCTTCATTAGCAGCTTGCTCGTGGAGATGGTGGTCAAGTTTACAAGTACAAAAGGTGGCGGGGTTGACAGCAACTGGATCAATGACAATCTCAACAGGGCTCACATTGATTACTTCTACTGGCTGCTCACCCTTCTCAGCATCATCAATCTTGGAATCTATGTTCTGTGCGCCAGGTGGTATACTTACAAGAATGTGGGAGATATTGGAATTGGATCATCAATCGGTCCCGATATCACTGGCACTACCACCATGGCTCTCGCAAGACAAAGCTCATTGGAATCTCAGTAACAAGAGTGAAAAAAACCAGATAGTTCTTGTTATATCTTATAAATCACCTCTTTTTTCCAAAGTCATTGCAATTCTACTCAAGCATTAGTTACCAAGACTTCTCAGAAGCACATGTATACACCATAGTAATGTCCGGTCGAAAGTTTCAAAGTTTCGAAGACACGTCACAAGCTAGTGAATAGAAGTCCATAGTCTTTTTTTTTATTGACTTTTATACTTTCATGCTATTTATCAGATCAAAATAATTGATTCTTCGTCCCACAATTTAGGACGGGCGGCTTCCAGCCTGAGTGCTGTAACAACTTTGCGCTTTTATATATGCTCTACACTGTTGGATGTGGAAGACGTGGAATAAGAGCTCTTCACATACAACGTATCACATCAGCATATTTCATATGATTCAATAAGTTGAGAGGAGCTTCCAATTCAACCATCATGGAACCAGAACAACATTGTGCTATCATTTGAGATTCTTGTACATAATAATTCAAGCTTGGGCTTTCTTTGTTCGCTGCTCGAGCAGAAAGGCTGAGTGATACTATAAATAACACTTTTGGCTAGAAGAGGAAGTAGTTTGTGGCAAGTGGGAGTTTTTCCGCTGGGGAGCATACCAGTGGAATGTTATCGGCAGTGACCTCATAGCTCTCCGGGTCCACTTCGATGCAAGGCGTCTCGCTGTTGAGTTTCATGTCCGCTTTGCTTAGATTCCTTACGTTTTTCACTGCTTCGATCCTTTTAGTGAGGCCATAAGCTTGGCCTACATTCAAGTCTTTAGCAGCCTAAAAGAGAGACAAAAGAAAACTTAGAATATAATAGACACAGAGAGGAAAAATGTGTGATATGATGCTTACTTTGCTCACAAATGCAATGGAAGACGAGCTAGCAGCTTTGCCACACGCTGCAAACATTGGTCTCATTATAACCTGTATCATTAATGATCAAAGGTTAATGTAAGAAAGAAAACAAAACAAAACAAAAACTATCCACGAACGAAGGAAGGACTTTTTACCGGTTCTGGAGTTGGGATGCTGGCATTGGCATCTCCCATTTGCGCCCAAGCAACGTCGCCACCTTTAATAACGAGCTCCGGTTTAGCTCCGAAAAAGCCAGGCTTCCATAGCACCAAGTCTGCGAGCTTTCCAACCTGGTAAAAATCACTTTTTTATAATTCATCGAAGAGGAACATAAGATCACAGACCTCGATGGAGCCAACAATGTGAGACACACCGTGTGCCACTGCGGGATTGATGGTGTATTTCGCGATGAAACGTCTCACTCGGAAGTTGTCGTTGTTGTTTTCACGATCTTCCGGCAAAGGCCCCCTTTGCAGCTTCATCTTATGCGCAGTCTGCCACGATCGAGTGATCACCTAGTCGTGTACAAACCGGAAAGAACAAAAACAAAACAAAAGTGAAAAAAGGAGAAGAGAAGAAGTTTGCGAGAACGAGTAACTTACCTCGCCTATTCTTCCCATGGCTTGAGAGTCCGAAGACATCATACTGATAGCTCCCATGTCGTGGAGAATATCTTCCGCGGCAATGGTCTCGTTTCGAATCCGGGACTCCGCGAATGCTACGTCTTCCGGAATGTTTCTATTCAGGTGATGGCAGACAATCTATCAGACAAGAAATCCCGGTTAGAAGCTCTGGAAACCGATTTTTTTTTCCTCCTACCAGCATATCCAGATGCTCGTCGATCGTGTTCTTGGTGAAAGGCCTGGTCGGATTCGTGGACGATGGTAGAACGTTTGGAAGGCCACAAACTTTGATAATGTCGGGGGCATGGCCGCCTCCAGCGCCCTCACTAGTAGAAAGAGACACTTCCAGAGTTGGAAAAACAAGTGAAACGAAAAGAAAAGTTCTACCTGTGATAAGTGTGGATCGTCCGGTTTTTAAAGGCTGCTATGGAGTGCTCGACGCAGCCGGATTCGTTTAGAGTATCGGTGTGGATAGTCACCTGATAAGAAGTGAAACAAAGTGAAGAATAAAAAGAACTTCACAACTTCTTTCACGGTTGCGCAATACCTGGATATCAAACTTATCTGCGACGTCGAGGCAGCGATCAATCGCAGCTGGAGTAGTACCCCAATCCTCGTGTAGTTTCAGTCCTATAGCTCCAGCTCGAATTATATCGTCAAGCCCTTCGACTTTGGACGAGTTTCCCTGAGAAAAACTCGTTAGTAAACACTCTAGACAAGAAAATTTGATCGATTCGCTTGCCTTTCCTGTGAAGCCAAAGTTGATTGGAAAATCATCGGTGGAGCGTAGCATGAGCCGCATTTGATCGACAGCAGGGGTGCACGTCGTTGCACAAGTTCCGTGAGCTGGTCCGGTTCCACCTCCGATCAAAGTTGTCAATCCACTCGCAATGGCTTCAGTGGAAAGCTGGGGACAAATGAAATGGACGTGGGAATCGATGCCTCCGGCCGTGAGAATAAGTCCTTCGCCAGCCACAACTTCCGTATTTACCTGTGTTGTCGAGACAATAACTTAGTAGCGAGGAAGATGATGATAGAAGAACTTACTCCCACGATCATGTTGGACGATACCGCGTCCATCACGTCGGGATTTCCAGCCTTTCCAATCCCACAAATGTAACCATGCTTGATGCCTACGTCCGCTTTGTAGATTCCCGTGTAGTCGATCACCACAGCGTTTGTGATGACTGTGTCGAGCGTCTCGTCGGCCTTGTAGCCGGTTCCCTGTCCCATCCCATCGCGGATCACTTTGCCTCCTCCAAACTTGCACTCGTCCCCGTAGAAAGTGAAGTCTTTCTCGATCTGCGCATACAACTCGGTGTCGCCGAGTTTGATCTTGTCTCCCGTGGTTGGTCCAAAGATGTTTGTGTAAACTTCACGAGAGATTGGACAGGACGCATCTTCCACTGGCCTGAGGAGAAGAAAAAATTGACAAAAGGTCATCGACAACTAGGCTAGGAAAACGTAGAAAACAGCTTACAACGCATCGTTTTGTTGCTTGTGACCGAAATTCCGCAAGCTCAGCTCCTCCATGATCTTTGGAAGTCGAGACGAATCAACCGGACCCTCTGCGATACCGTTTCCTCCGCGGATAACGCTTTTTCCTCCAATGCTGACCAGTGCAACAGTCTTAGTTTCACCTGGCTGACGAAGAACACGCACAAAAAAAAACACTGACATGCTATTATCTACAGTGTCGAGAAAAAAAAGAAAAGAAAAGGAACCAAAAACGATAGAGAAGAAATGAAGACAAGCAACTCATTGTACCTCGAAACGGACAGCAGTCCCAGCGAGTATGTTGAGACGCATGCCGTAAGACTTTTCTCGATCGAAAACAAGGTACGGGTTTGTCTCGACAAAGTGATAGTGGCTACCGACCTGTGTACAACATCAAAGAGAGACTTTGATGATTTCTTGCGTGTTTCTGAAGCAACCTTACCTGTATAGGCCTGTCGGCAGTGTTGGAAACTGTGAGCTTGAGACCCTTTCGTCCAGCGTTGATGAAAATGTGTCCCGAAGCCAGAACCAGCATTCCTGGAGCTGGCTGCTCCTGAAACTCGGGGAAAACATCCACGCTTGGAACTGGAAAGATCTTCCAAAACTTCTGTTTCGAGGCGCTTCTTCCGGATCGAGTATAAGCACTTACCAGGCAGAAAAGAGCCATGGAGAGCTAATGCGAGGTCTCCATTCTCCTTGACAATGGGATGGTGCACAGTTACAAGTTTAGTCCCATCCGCAAATGTCCCTTCCACCTTCGTTTCATCCAAAAACCATAAAACCTTCGGGAAAAAAAAAGCAAAAAAATACCTGGACCATCTCCAGGAGGTGCCCCACTTCCGGAAGAACTTGCCTCCTGCAAAAAATCCCAGATCAATCCATGCAAAATATTATCAAAAGCTTACTTTCCCAAAAGCTGTCTTCCCAAATCCATGAGCTCGGCCACACTCTTATTCTCCCGGATGAACTCCAAAACCTGGTTTTCTTATCGATTTAATCCGCGAGAAAAGCTCCACATTAAACACATACCTGTGTGGCAATGAGAGCCACAGCCTCGGGGTAATTTAGAGGCAACCCACGGGCAAGTCTCTTTTGTGCCAAAAACCCAGCTTCATGGAGCAAGAGCTTGTCAATCTCTTTTGGTCCCAGCCTCATTTTTTCCACTCTTCACACTCGAGACCTAAACTAGGATTTTCTATCCAATAAGTCAAACCATGAATATGGTTAAAAAACTATTGTGCTTCAATCATCCAGAAGTTTTAACCTAAAATTCAAAACAGGAAGCATATCCTCTGGCAGGAAGGAATATCCGACCTCTTTAGCTAGCCCTAACCCCGCTTCCACCTAGAAAAAGCGTTTGACCTAACTAGTATAGGACACGTGGCGTGTGTGCTGCTGGCAATCGCAGTCATGATGTGACGTGCGTTGTCCCGTGGTGCTGTTTGACGGGACGTCACGGCCGTATCCTCTTTGCCAGAGACCTCGTCCCTGCGACGTGCATGAAGGGTCCTCCTACTACAGTTGAATGGCCGTTTCATACCATGCCCATCGGGTCTTTCCCGCCATCGCGGCCGACCAATCTCGAGCGCTGTGGCATGGACGGCCCGGATGCGCGGCGTATGCCATGGCACGGGCATGTATGGGCCCCAAGTAAAGGTAAGAAACGGAGGCAGATAATTGCATTAGTTACTCCACTTTTATTACCAATCAGGAAAATTGTTTCAGCTTCCTTCTCTCTCGTGGCTATGGCGGACAAGGACAAGGGCGAAGAATCTCTTGTGTAGCTAGGGTTTCCACGCCCAGGCGCCTGTTCACGCGAAGATTTCAAAGCCGCGCAAGTGGAAGCAGCGGCTGAATTCGTCGTCGGCAGCAGCAGCGGCGCTAGACGGCGCATCGGTCGATCATCGCGGGATTCGCTCAATCAGGTTTCGCTCATCCTTCTCTCGCCCGCTCCTCGCGGAGACTGTGCGTGGAAACTTTGTGTGCCTGGAGCTCGTGATGTCAGCGTGAGGTAGCAAATGTGATGGCTTGGGGGAGGGATTTGAAGTCAAAAGGGTGTCAAGTAATTTAATCACACAGTGCTTCGCGATTACAACTCTCTCCTCTCCGCTCTACAGTCGCTAGCGATTTCTCCCATCGGCAGGGAGCTGGGATGAAGAACACTGGGCCGCGAGAATTATGAGACCAAGAACTTCCAAAGGTAAGAAGTGGTGGCATGAGGAGCTTTAACGAGAATGTGCTGGGTCTTATTGCTTTCCACAGGAGGACATGGAATTGCGAAGTTCTTGACTTTGGATTCCTGGGGAGCAACAGTACATGGAGCAATTGCTGTAAGCAAAGCAGAGCTTGGGTCTTTTGGATTGATTGATTGGTTTTTTTCGTGTGTGGAATCGGATGGAACCAACCAACAGGGGCGCCATTTGTAGGGACTCCAAAATCGGCTCTGGAGTTTATGATTCCGCCTCCTTGAGTCAACAAGGTGAGGTTCCATAAAAACCAAAAATCTTCTCATATTTCCTCCCGTCTTCGCTTACATATCAATTATTGCTCGCTAGACTCCACCGTCTTGAACCAGTCAGCCGCTTTTATCACCACTGTCGTAGATTGTTCAAGCAAGGTGAAACAAACACGTAAGTCTGTCTGAGTGGTTTTGATATTTTGTCTTCCCAGGTTACATCGGTGGCCTCGCACTTGCACCGATCGGAAGACGCTCTCATGGCCGATAGCAGTCCGCAGAAGGGAAATTCTACCGACGATGGCGATCAAAAAGTCTGAAATCGATGTTGTATCACTTGGAGAGTCTCACGAGTGCGTTGTTTTCGTGTGTACGTTACAGTCCGAGGATGGACCATTAACTCCATCGTCCACCAAAAACCTCGACTCAAAGGTACGCCTGGCATTGCATTTCGCTGCAACAGCAACTTCAGGGTTTGATCGTGTCATTGTTTCTCGTGCTGGTGATTTAGACACTTCGACGTCTTGCACAGAACCGCGAGGCCGCACGGAAAAGCCGCTTGAGGAAAAAGGTGAAGGACTGAAAATATCATCTCGTCTTTTCCACCTTGCCTCTGACAAAGCATGGTTTCTCTGGCTGTGAATTCAAGGCTTATGTACAGCAACTGGAATCCAGCAGGGTGAAGCTAAATCAACTCGAGCAAGAGCTGCAACGAGCCAGGCAACAGGTACGCTTATCATTTGGCTTGACGTCCGCGTTGCGTAAGCTTAGCATAAAGACATTCCATGCGGAGGCCTTTTGCAGGGATTCTATCTTGGAGGGTATTCAAACGATCAGAGTCATGCGGCGGCGAGCAGCGGTACGCGTTAAAGTCATGTGGTTTTTTCTGTTTCTATTGTTTTTCCGTTTTGGAATCCAGCGCTGACCAGTTGGAAGTGCAGGTGCTGCTGCGTTCGACATGGAGTACGGGCGGTGGCTGGAGGAGCAACAGCGACAAATGACCGAACTACGAACGTCATTGCAAGCTCATGTCTCGGACGATGAGTTGCGGGTCCTGGTTGACGCCGCCATGTCCCACTACGACGAGATATTTCGGCTGAAAACAGCTGCTGCGAAGTCGGATGTCTTCCATCTAGTCTCCGGTATGTGGAAGACCCCTGCCGAGAGGTGCTTCATGTGGATGGGTGGATTCCGGCCTTCAGAACTTCTAAAGGTGCTGCTGTGTCTTTCTTTTCCTCGTTTTTTCCGAAAGTGCTTAACGTTTTTGTGTGACACCACAGATACTTATACCTCAGCTTGAACCCCTTACAGAACAGCAGCTCATGGGGATTTGTAATCTACAACAGTCGTCGCAGCAGGCCGAGGATGCTCTCTCCCAGGGGATGGAGGCACTGCAGCAGTCACTCGCGGACACCCTGGCGACTGGCTCCTTGGGCGCTGCGTCGAATGTCGCCAACTATATGGGACAAATGGCGATGGCGATGGGAAAGCTGGGAACGCTCGAGAACTTTGTTCGCCAGGTGATGTGATGTATCTGTGGTTTCACGATTGTTGTCTCAACTTTCCTTCTACCAGGCTGATAACCTTCGGCATCAAACGCTCCAGCAAATGCACAGGATATTGACGACTCGTCAAGCGGCGAGAGCCTTTCTAGCGATTGGAGACTACTTTGGACGATTGAGAGCGCTGAGCTCATTGTGGGCTGCCAGGCCACGAGAATAAGTCCCGAGTAGGAGGTAGGCTTACGCAAATTCTTACGCTTTTTCCTTTTCTTGTGCCTGTACAATCGGTAGTGGAGCAGCCTAGCGATAGCAGTAGACAACTCTTTCCATATTATAATCCTTCCATGTAAATATAAGGTATGCTTAAGTTTCTCTCCTATTATAATTTTCAGCTCTTTAGAAACTTCAGTGAAGCTTTCTCTCTTCGTCTAAAAGTAAGCTTCGAAGCTTTCAAAGTTGGCTTCTTTTTGCTGCCACCAAAGTTGTGCTGTTCACACAGAGAAAAGTTTGATTCCGAGACTCGTGAACCCTCCAGTCTGACTGAGAACTAGCCTAGAGTGAGACAAGCGCATCTTCTGAAAACTTCTCAGTACATATTCTGAAGCAACTCTCATGTTTCATGCCGCTCCGGCAGTTAAATAGAAAAGAAAAACAAAACAAAACCAGAAAAACAAAAAAAAAATGTCTTCCTGGCTGGTGCAACTGCTTCTGAATTTTTTTTTTGGAAAAGTTTTCTAGTGGTGCAACTGGGCTTTGCTTTGGGGAATGCATATGAAAGTGTTCAATCATGCACCTCAAACCTAACAATATTGTCATGACTTGGGGCAAATTGTATTTCTCAAAGGAATTCATCACAGCTGGTTGTTCCCAATCCCTATCATTCCCACCAAACATTCTAAGAAACTTCAAAGATGGATGTGAAAGAGACCTCCATCCGTTCCCGAGTGTAATTTATGTGTGCCAACATTGTCATACCACGTCTCTTGACATTTTGCCTGGGATCTGTGGAAAAATCCTTGGAGCATTGTTTAGACTCAACAAGATTTGGATGAACTAAGAATCCTTTACAATATCTTTAGAAAAATGAGCTCCCAAAAAATAATCTTTATAGAAAGCTCCCAAAAGCTGACCTAAGAAATGGGAAGAAAAATCAGGCCTGGAAAGAACCCTCGCCATAATGACATGAAAGCAACCAGAAAGTATGCCGCTATGATATGGAGTGTACGGTTTAGCATGAGGAAATTGCTCGCCACGTGGCACACTCCCAACGGCTACATCTTTGCCCCACGTCCGACGTGGCCTTGCGGCATTGGACGTGGCCACGACGGACTTTGTGGCTCTAAGAAAGCCTAGGGCTTTCCATCTTCCCCGACGAGGACTTCGGCGTGAGTGCTTTGTTCTTGGCAGGAGGCGGACGCTGGCGGCGTGTGGAGGTCACTGTCGATCGATCGATCGGTTTCATTCGGGAAATGTGACTCGCGAGTGATGGAATTCGCGTGCGCGCAGGCTTGGCTCGTAAGATCGGGATCAAAGATTGGCCAATTCGGTTCTTGGGGATCGATTCCCCCAGTTCTTCGCCGCGGTCGCCTCATCTGGGAGTACAGTAGCTCGGACAAGCCGTAATATCGATCGATCGATCGATCGACAAGGATCATGGAGAGCGGGGATTCCGTGCTACATTTTCCGCCTGGATCGACGCCGGCCGTGATTGTAGATATGTCTCCACTTCTAGGGGCGGGCACCAGCAGCAGTGGCTCCGGCGAGGAAGAATGGAGGAGAAGTAGCGGTAGAGGTAGGATACAGGGAGCCGCGAGGTTTTTCCGCCACGCCGGGAGTGGCAGGGTGATGCGAGAATCGTCCATTCTCGTCCGCGAGACAGCGGTCGAGCAGCTTGACGAGCGGCAGAGCGATTGGGCCTACTCGCGGCCGGTGGTGGTCCTGGATTTGATCTGGAATTTGGCCTTCGTCACGGTGGCTCTAGTGGTGCTCGTCATCAGCCAGAGCGAGCAGCCGTGCACTCCTCTTCGCATTTGGGTGCTGGGATACGCTCTACAGTGTGTACTCCACATGTCGTGCGTTGTGAGCGAGTACCGGAGGCGGCGAAGGAGGCGATCTTCCGGGGCTGGGATGGAATTGGAGGACATGGAAGACAACGAGATCGATCACATCAGGTACCTCTTCTTCTTTAGCTAGCATTTGAGCAATGAAGAAAAGCACAGTCTTTTAACTGGTTCTTCCTTTTTTCCTTTTTGCAGCTTGGCCAAACGGCTGGAATCTGCAAACACCATGTTTTCGTTCGTATGGTGGGTCGTGGGATTCTACTGGATTACTGCCGGAAGCGAGGCTCTGGTCCAGAGCTCCCCGCGAGTTTATTGGTAATTAACTCCTCCTTCCTCGCTCGCATTCCATTCAATGCCTTTGTTTGTGAGGTGCCATGGCTCGACGAGCGTTACTCACTTCTTGTTTAACTTTGCTTGCAGGCTGTGCATCGTGTTCTTGGCCTTCGACGTCTTTTTCGTGGTGTTTTGCGTCGCGCTGGCTTGTATGATAGGCATTGCCGTTTGCTGCTGCCTTCCGTGTATAATTGCCATCCTTTACGCTGTTGTGGATCAGGTACGTGTGTTTAGTTGCTTGGTTGAGTACAAGCGAAAGGCTGACGGATTTCCTTCACACGCAGGAGGGTGCCTCCGAAGAGGACATCAGCGTATTGCCCACCCTCAAGTTCAAGAGGGTGAGAAATCCCAGTTGCAGTAGCACCAAACCAGACGAAGAGGACAAGGCAGCACTGCCTGCTGGTGGAGTCATGTGCTCTTCGGAATCTCTGTTTCAGCGCATGCTCTCTGCCGAGGATGCGGTAAGTGGCTGGTTGGTGTGCTGCTAATCGCTTGTTTCTTTTCGCAAAATTTGGTTTTTCTTTCTTCTTTGTGTTTGGTGGAATTGACTGTTTTGTTTGTGTTTCAGGAGTGCTGCATATGCCTGTCTTCGTACGAAGACGACGCGGAGCTGCGTGAGTTGCCTTGCAATCACCACTTCCATGGCTCGTGCATTGTCAAGTGGCTGAGGATAAACGCTACTTGCCCCCTGTGCAAGTACAACATCATCCACCGGAGTAGCAGCAGCAGCAGCAGGCGCAGCGATTCCATTGGTGGTGAAGACGAGGTATGAAGCAAGCAGCAAACAAGCTCCAGCTTTTCTTCCATGGAGCAGAGGATCAGATTTTTGACAGATTAAACGCTGGCGGCTGCTTCAAGAGCTTGTGTTGCTGCTGCTAATTCTCTTGTACAAAACTCTGATGTTATCAAATTCAGCTGGCTCAGCTCAACCCAATATCCTCCAGCCTCAAAGAAGAAAGCACCCACCCATGAGAAGTGCTACATTTGAAAGAATGCTTCCTAAAACCTCTCAGAATGGGATCTTTGTCAGATAGTATCCGAATTAAAACATGTTTAAACAAATCAGTGCTCATTGTAAGTAGAGAAAGATGAACTTGAGCGATCGAAAAACCAAAAAATTGGTGTAGTTTTACACGTATATACTTCTGGATTGGTGGCGAGACAGCTATGAATATTCTTTACTTTATTCCATTTACAAAGTGTCTTGGGAACCTCTAAGCTGGTTTAGTACCAGAACTAGACAGGAAAGCTGAGATGGATCGCAAATATTTGCATTTGAGTGGACAAACAACTGCATCCCATGATTTTGGTCTGGTCTCCCCACCTTTTGAGCACACATCACCTTTTTTTGAACCTCCAGAGAAGGGCAGCCCATGCATATTGCAGTTATGGCTCTTTCTCCATTGCTTTTTTGTCCACTACTTGTGGGAAGAAGATGATTGCGTCAACCCATCGTCAATCTCTCCAGTCATCCGTGTCACCCCAGTAGGTTGACAAGGTTGTTTTGAAAAGCCACGGAACCATCTCCAAGCTCAAAACCTTGCTGACACAGCATGTATTTTGCAATGATAGCAATTTCAGCTCCTTTATCTTGCACCCAAACCTTCTGCCCCACCAATTTGTGCATCCCCAGATGTAGAAATTGCACCTTGTTTTTCCCTGAATTGCACTTTGTACCAGCTTTGACCCGTGGTATTTATTCCTTCAAGCAAACTTGCAACTTGGTTTTTATCCCCCTTAAATCTCAGTAGGCAGTGACAACAACTCTGCGTCACCCTAAAAATCACCGAATTTAGAAATAAGGTGCGAACGAAAGGTTAGGTCTCATGCGTTGAATCACTAAAATGAATGCTGCTGTGCCAAGGTGGAGCGGCTTTGGGAAGTCATGCATAGAAGAGACATGCTGAAAGTGGTGCGGGACATGGACAAGCGCTTGCTGACCACGGGCCTGCCCGACTCGGACTTCTTCCCGGAGGAGAAGTGTCTCCTCGAGACATCCAAGCTGATAGTCGGATTCCAGGCACCAGCAAGCCGATGCTTGGGTAAGACATATCTCTTGATCAATAGCCTTGCTAACATTCTTTTGGCAGGCAAGCTACTGCATTACCAAAGAAGACTGGCCCTTCGCTCCACCTCCGCAATAAACCCAGCCGATGTACAGTGAGCTCAAGCGGCTCCACCGAATGAAACCCGCATCTTTTCTTAGGGTGCTGGTACCAGGAGAGGACTTGCTCAACCAAGTACACCGTCGGCTGTCCGAGGCAGATATGATCGATGTTCTGCCTATTCCAGATTGGAAATGCGGTCCCCAGCGGCACGCACCTCCCTTTAAGCTCCTGCCCGCTTGGTCGGAGGAGAGAAGTATTGTCAGCATCTGGTAGACATGAGAAGGAAGGAGGAGGCCGAGGAGGTGAAAAACTCTAGATGGTCAGGGCAATAGAATCTTTTGATGATAAGCAAAAATATAAATAATAAACCTTCGTATAGTGGAGCGAAAGTCGTCGATGACAATGTGAATCTGGTCCGCTCCATCCGGCAGATTGATTTGCTTTTGCTCGGAAATGTGGATTTGTTCCTAGCGTATCGAGCCTGTATCATCGAGCATAACTCACAGAAAGGGGCCGTAAGCTTCCAAAGCTTTGCAAACAGAGAAATTTCAGCTGCTTAGGATCTGGAGCTGTCCAAAATGAACACGTTTAGTGTCTGAACTGAACCCAAGGAACTCACTCAAAGATGTGTTTGCAGTTTTTAATAGGTGGTTCTTTCCGACCTTTGATATATTGACATTGAAAAACTAGGTTTTTACCCAAGCCCCAGCTCTGGTTGACAGGAGGAAATAAAATCGATTCAAATTGGGAGCATTGAACCTGTCAATGCGAATTTGTCCTGTTACGTTTCTGTTGTGCTCATAGCTCCAATTCTGAAGGAAAAAACAAATAAATTAATTTATGTGGTGAAGAAATACCGTTCACCATCATTTTATCTAATAGTAATAATAACAGCTATTTCAATCCT